CGACAGTCTTGACCTGAATAACTTCCATCATCTGAGTAAACACGTGTCGTTTGCCCATGGCAGTGAGTTTACGCTAAGGTCGTCATAAGCGTGTGCAACACAAGACAATACTTTGCGTACTTGAAGCTTTTCCATCATACCAACTTGGCTTAAGGGGTCACTGACTTTCCCGTGCTCAATTACGGTCCAGCCTTCCTTCATCTTCATCCATACGCTTAGCTCCCATGCATCTCTAGAAATCAAACCCTTCTTCTCCGCCTCGTACGCAACTGCCATCGCCCGGAAGTCCACGGTCCACTCTTCCCAGGGCATACCCCAAGTTGGTTGTTTGAATTCCTCGGGATCAACGGCACGACGCAGAACTTCATTCATGTATGAATCCCTTTTGTCCGGAGGCTGAGAAACAATATCTGCAACGGTTGCTGAACTAGGTTTTCGGAAGACAATTTCAGATTTTGGAAATCCATGATGGTATCGCAGTTTGATGATGGTGATGAAGTTGTTGATCAAGGGCAGCAAGACGGACAATAAAAACATGTCCATGCACAGTTGACCTGCTAAAGGCCAGTTCACCACAGGAGGTGGGGCCTTGAGTATTGGTAGTATTTTCCCAAGGATGAACAGGATGCCGTAGCGGTGCAGAGCGCCGTATATGCGTTTGCCAAGCAGAAAAGACCATGCAATATTGGCACCCAGCATGAAAAGGAAGTGCCTCCTGCGATGGAAAGTATGTTAAGTCTTCTCGTCTTCGAGCCCAAACGTGCGACTTGCTTTCGGCTTGACACGTCAGTGGTGTCAAGATGGCTAACATATACCTCAGTGTCAGAAGCATATTCAGATAGAAATGCAGCAACAGGGCTACCCTCGGGGACTCGATGAGCAGCTGGCATCGATTAGAAAACCTCGATCTTGTAGGGTTAACCAACGTGAGTGCGTGAGCATTGCCAAGTCACTTGGTCCAACAGAATTAGGTAAGCATCTGAGTATGTCGCTGATGGAATCAAGTGCGATGCCATACGGATCCATAATTTTGTCGCCAAACTTCAGCGCTTAGCTACAGCTTCATGCCCCGTGGCACGACATAGTACTGCGAGATACGATGAACGTGCAAATGAAAGTTTGTTGCAGGTCTTTCTTCAAGTGCATGGGTCCAAAATGGAAGCGATATTCACACACATTATTTCCCACGCCTCCGCCTTATAACATTCGTGACGAAAATGTTTTGGTTTTCATCCTTCCACAATCAAAACGCAATGACGAGAAATGACGGTGCAGAGAGTTGAGTCAGACCCTATACAGGTTTCGCATTGACATCGCCCGTTCGGCACCACTCTCCTTGTTACATTTGTAAAGGGACGGGCTTTTCGCACTCTTGAATGGCGGCTTTTTGATTGTGGTCATTCTGATGACTGGAAGTGGTGTTTACTATACAATTCCAATACTCAGTTACACTGTTAACAATCTCATCCAATCTACCAAGTGCTTTCTTGTGTGTTGGGCACTGGTATCCGTTCGGTTCTTTGAATAAATGTAGCTGATGATATTCTTCGGCATCATACACTGCCAGCTTCTTCAATTCCCGTCACAATCTTTTGGCCCTTGAAATGTTCCTCTTGTACCTTCTGCGTGACGTCTTTCGCTATCTTGCTCTGTCAGGTGAATGTGTGAAAATCGTAGAGCGGTACTCTGCTCGACAATTAGGACATTAAATATGACATCAAGGGAACAATCGCACGAGTGCCCACATCACCGCCCCTGCCTGTTCAACGTGGTCGGGTCATGGGTGCGGTAAAGAACTCTGGCGGCAGATCAGGTTATGTGACGGAGCTAGAACTGCAACTCACCAACGAGCTCTCCGTACTGGACTATGGAAGGGTCGAATTCGATTCTCAAGGCCTCAGCATGATCGGTTGTTCCAGTGCACACTTCTCTGTACGTCGGGCTCTGAGCTTTCTCCAGCCCGCCGGTGTATCCGACGCTCGTCTTGAGGATGCCCTTGTTCTGCGAAGGAGGATACTCTTTCAGGAATATGTGTTCGACACCCCAAAAACACCCCCCAGCGAATGTGGCAATCTCGCTTTGAGTGCCTGTATTGACGAAGGGTTCGTGGTTGGATCCACACATTCGAAGGAACGGCACTTGCCTGAAGACAAGGCAGCACGATAATGGGACGTGTCAATTGCATGTGACATTGCAGGCGTCGCGAAAGAAAATAAGGCGGTACGAATGTGATTGAGACGACTAAGCATCTAATGAAATATTGACCAGGACTACGAGTTGGTGGGAAGCGTGACACCGGGCTTCTAAGGTGTATCTAAGCATTTGTCATTCGGTGCCACATCACGATGATATACACAGGGCCGGCGCTGCCGCCTAATACCTTGCTCAGCCTAAGAGGGGTGCAAAAAGCAAATACCGAATATGAGAAGCATATACTATCTTATCTTTTTTTTTGTATAATGATGTTATCAATGTTATAGCAACTGACAAGGTCAATCCTAGAGGATACGTTTGGGGTATGGCCAGGGTTTCACGCGCGCTAGTTAAGAGTTAATGGTCACCCAGAGATACTGCGATAGCAGCGTGGGACTCAAATTGCGCCTTGTTCGGAATTACCTATTCCGTCCCGAAGCCCACTAAATTTACCCCTGATTGTCGGATCCAGTTGTCCGGAAGGTTATCTTCGTCTTTTAAGAGACCACTCCAAGTCTTTAGGACCGTGTGTACTTTGGTCACACGGAGTGCAGCCTGGCAGAGAAAAATTGGACATGGGAAGGGCATAGGCTCGGCGGACACCGTTCTCATGACCAATTTTTCTTTTCAGGGGTAAAAGTTACTCATTCTTGCTGTTGATGATTATGTTTTCAACCACTTCAGTGCCCTCGCTACCCTCGCTCTCCCTCTCGCATCTGCACCGAAGTCTGACACTTGTTCACCTGTCGATGCTACGACCACAACCATATCCTACTTCCGGTACTTTCTGACTTGCTCGCATCTCGCCAGATTTAGTGCCTCGTACCATTCTATCCCAATGATTGATGTTATCTGGCAAGGTTTTTTTTCATTTCGCTTGCTCGCCTCTTTCTGACCTGCTTTTCAGTGACTAATCAAATGTATCCAGGTGTATATTCTAATCCGTCCAATTAGGATAACTTGCTCTAACTGTATCTATTTTGTTCTAACAAGGGAGGATTTTCTTGATGTTAAAAAGATCGAGGTAGAACACGGCTAATGTTAGACAATCAGGAGTCACGCGTACGCACGAACGCAAGGTTATGTAGACCTGCTGCCTCGCCCTGCAGGCGTTTGGGTTGGTTATCCCTCTTCCCTGTACTGCTGGACGATATGATCGCAGGCACGTCAGTGGCGTGACCTATATAGTCTCCCGTAGACACACCCGCTAGAAAGAAGACGGCCGGACGTTCTGTATTAGTTGACATGGGAGTGATAACATGCTGACAGACAAGACCATGCTGTGTCTAGACTCTAGTCCTACATAACATTTATCCGCAATAAACATTACCAGGGCATCCGACGGATGTCCCGTATGTTGCACCAGAGACGCCTGAAATTGTGAAATATTGCGTTCACGATACCACCAAGACCTTCTCCTGCAATAAAACCCGCTGCCACAGCAAAACAATACATCTGGTAGTTGTTGAAGAACCTGTACGAGATGTCAGAAGAAGCTATTAGAGCATTTAGAGAATTTATTAGACGCACATTCTTCTCCAGAAAAATGCAATAGTCGAGCCAAAAAACATTGCCAAGGGGGTACGTGCAGACGTCTGCGAAGTGAGTAAGACGGCCAATCACTGGAATACGCATCACATACTCATTATGAACCCAATTCCAATAGCATTGAAGTTGCTTCATTTCTATGTCAGATAAAGCAGGAACACGGTGGCAAATCACTCACGGTATGAAGTCGTGATATTTCGGAGGAACCATAGTATACTTTACCACAACAGAGATGATCGCCACCAATCCAAGTGCGATGGCAGCATACCCAGAAGATGGTGGAATGGGCAGCGTACTTGAAGACACAGCAACGGCCACTGCACGCCATGACTGCACGTCAGGCGCGGGGAAGGCGCATGTTGTGTAGTTCAAATTGTTGATGCACGGGTAAGCGGTGGAAAACACGACGTAGAGACCAGCAGCCATGAAAATTGATACTACAGCTCCGCAGAGTTGAGCAACAAAAACAGCCCTGGGGGACGCGCGGAGGAGGTGTGTCGTTTTGAGATCGCCAATCATGTCCCCAGCTAAATCGCACATCAACAAAATTTCAAGGTTTTGATAATAAAACTGGGATACCTTGTTCCGCAGCACCTGTTTGATTCACGACAATTTAGCACCTGTGATGCCCAACGATTTAGTTACTTACCTAGCGTCAACATTCCAGAAAGCAAGTTTAGGAGCTCGCCTCGTTTGACGGCGTAGTTCTGACCCCTTCCTAATCCCCCGAAAATGAGTTGCGAGGCATTACCTGTCAGTAATGTTAGCGTCTGTGAATGAATTGACTATTCGGCAAAGTTACCAATTGACGTAACGGGATTGATATTCGTCCGACCAGAGCTTTCACAGCCAATGAAGCTGAACAAAAAAGAGAACAGAATCGCTATATGATGCAGGGGAAGTATCAGCTTCTCCTTAAAATCGATCTAACGCGTTGATGACACACCAAGGAGAGTGACACCAACGTTCTGTCCGAACTGAACGCCCATTATGACACATGTAACGATCGTACTGAGGACAAGTACAGAACCCCAAGCCCAAAAAGGCACACGTTCGTGCTCAGGTACGGGGTCCACGATATCGTCCACTACACCGTTTTTTGAAAACCGTTGCAGGAACATTCCGCAAGCGGAGCGCATTGCGGCGTATAGTGACCTCCAATTACATGCTACTTCTGTGAAACTTGCGCAGAGAAGCATTAGTGTGCCAGGCCAGATCAGCCAGTATCTCGGAGATGGCTCCTGAATCGGATTTTGAAGAGTCCTGCTAACAGTGAGATTTTCACACGAAGGAAATAACAGACGACCCACATTCCCATATAATTCATGTATCCAGGTATAGATGGATTTTCAACGATCCCGAAAGCCTGCCATAGGTGGTTCAATAGTGGTCAGTATGTAACTACATATGAAGAGTCTTGCACGGACTATTCCTTTGGCGACAATTATAGGACCCAAAACAGCCCAAGCGAGGAAACTCTGTATATCGTAACGTATTAGCGACCGTATGCAGTCGTAATAATAACACATACTCCACCGAGGAAACTATACGAGGCATTGATACCTGTGAGCATCCCTACGCCAATGAACGCGGGGGTCCATTCCCAAATCCATCCCTTTCGGCTGATAATCAGACAAACGTTCCTATAACGGATGATATGCTCACCCAGCTCTCAGCGGCGATCGCTGAACTCCACCCGACTCTATTCAGAGCGTAGAAAATGTGCCAATCCCAAAGCAATCCTGGAGCATACTCGCTGACCACCCGTAAAAGAATGGCAAAGATGAAGGCATAGATCAGCGTCTTGGTTTTCTCCCTCGCTATCGCCTCTGCGTTCTTGCCCACATGCAAAGATTGAATCGTGTACGCAGCGGCCACGCCGGAGGGAAATACGAGCTTTAACTTCAAAATGTAGAATTTCCTCAGCGGTTGAGTGAAGCTCAAACCGAAGAAGGCGCAACAAATCGTGAAAGTGATAAGTCTGCCGATGTCGTCTTTGGGATGAACGCTCAGCAGCCCCAGTTGGTATGCGGCAGGGAAACCCGAGGTAAAGAGCAATCCTAGGCTTCCCGCTGACGTGGCGGCGGATTGACAAACATTGTTTTCTTTAGGCCCAAAATAGCCCCCACCAAGAAAAGTCGGTGCACTTCTTGAGAGTGGTTTCAAGATCGCGAAGCCTATGATTGAGCCGAACAACGACGCGCCAAACGTCCACCCCGTCTGCGTGAAAGGATGAGTGCATGCATTAATAAACCCCTCACTGCATATCGGAAGGATAACTGACTTTGAGACCCAGGTAGATGTTGCTGGCTGCGATGATGGCCCCCAAAATGCAGCCAACTACTACGGCTCGAACAGTTAGCTGTTGGTCCTCAACAGGGGCATCCGGATCCTCCGGAAATGGATCATCTGTGCTAATGGATTGCACGTGCGTTTCTAGCCCCTCAGAGCCACCAGACACGGAGGTAATGTCCGCGGTGACAGCACTCTTCTCCTTCTCCGAGTGAGAAGATAAGGACTGTACATAGGGTAATCGGTCCTGGTCCTGAGAAGCTGCAGTCGCCATCCTTAAACCACTAGGCAGACTTGGACTTGAGGTTACGATACCACTGCTCAAAGAGGCGACGTATATATGCTATCCTGAGCTCGCCCATGCCAATGTGTTTGAGGGGCAAGGCACGAGGTCAGGCTTATCAGTGAGAGATACTTCAATGATAAGCGGTATAATTGGAACAGCGAGAGTCAGCTGTAGAGTCCTCGGGAGCCCATCTGCTTATTTCTTCTCCGCAGCCCCATGACTACTAGTTGACAACAGGAAATCAAAAGTGCCCATACTTACCTGCTGCGGTGGTCCCAGATAGTTCCGTCAGCCAAAAGTGCTGAGCTTGCGATCGAAATATAACATAACCAAGAAGTGAAATGATATGGACCTTGTCTAAGAAATCATGCAGTAAACGAATATTCATCAAATTCATAACCCAGCGTCAAAATTACATACTAGTACAATGCCACCGGACGATAGGCTTAACCGCAATATACCCCACCCGGACAGCCAACTGTCGTTCCATATACAGCACCAGAAACTCCTGCTATCGTCAACACTGCAGTCACGATGCCGCCCAGGCCCTCCCCAGCAATGAACCCGGCAGCTACAGCGAAGCAGTACATCTCATAGTGGTTGAAGAACCTGAACAGCCTGTAAACTAGTCAAAATGTAGTTGGGAGAGATACGTACGTTCTGCGCCAGAAGAAAGCGATTGTAGAGCCGAAGAACATAGCCAAGGGGTAGGTGCATACATCTTTGAGGGTGATAGCATTAGTAGTATTCAATGACTTCGAAGTGTTCCTTACTCATGATGAAACCGATGCCGATGGCATTGAAGTTCCTGTGTGGTCAATTTGTAAGGATTTCTCTTGAGGTAAGGTACCGAGAAACTTACGGAACCCAATTGTGGTATTTCGGCGGGACGACAGTATGCTTCGCAACAACCGAAATCACAGCCGCGATGCCCAATCCTATCGCCGTGTACCCTGATGATGGTGGGATGGGAAGGGTCGACGATGAGACTGCAATCCCAACTGCCTGTTGAATTGATCAGTAGCATGCAATGAAAGGTACAGTCTGATGAATAAGAACCCACCCTCCAAGATTGCACATCAGGTGTCGGGAAACTGCAAGTAGTGTATGAAAGATCATTGATGCATGGATATGCAACTGAGAAAACAATGTAGACACCGGCGGACATGAAGATGGACACGATGGCACCGGTCAGCTGACCGTAAAAGACAGCTTTGGGGGACGCTCTGAGAAGATGGGTCGTTTTGAGATCACTGATCATATCAGCGGCTACGTGGCAAATGAGTATTTGCGGGCGGCTCAAAGTATGGTCTATAGACTACAGACCTTGCTCAGCAGCACCTAGGAATGGCGTGTGAGGAGTAGTGGTTCAGAGAGGCATGTTACATACCCAAAGCAAGCATTCCTGATAACGAATTCAAGAGCTCGCCTCTCCGAACTGAATACCCCTGCCCTTTGCCAATACCACCAAAAATGAGTTGAGAAGCATTACCTTTCGAGATACCTGTCAGTATAGAATCACAGGTTCCCAGATGCACTCACCAATGGATGTCACAGGATTAATGTTTGTGCGGCCAGAACTCTCACATCCAATGAAGCTAAATGCGAATGCGAAGACAATGGCTGGATTCTGACGTTCAAGCACTGATCATAATGATGGAGTCATGTCTCACCGAGAATTGTGATACCAACGTTCTGGCCATACTGAACACCCATGACAACACATGTGACTACGATGCTAGCGACGAGCACACCACCCCAGAGCAAGAATGGAACCCGGTCTTCAGGTGGTACAGGATCCACGAACTCTTCTACATTGTTCTTTTCGTGTGAATCTCCGTGGAAACGTTCCGCGAGTGCACCTATCGCAATGCGCGCGGCCGAGTAGATGGACTTCCAGTTGCAGGCGACTTCGGTGAAACTCGTGCAAAGTAGCATGAGTGTGCCGGGCCAGACCTGCATACGATGAGCATAATGGATCTACAATCTTCAGAAGAGTCTCTTACCAGCCAGTATCGTGGCGACGGCTGATTAACGGGATCAGTCAGAGACCTCCAGACAACTGGTTCAGCTGAGATGAATTTGAACAAGGATGAAAGTCACACACATTGATGCATAATTCATTTGCCCAGGGATGGATGTAACCGCCGGAATGCCGAAGGCCTGTGATCCTGTCAGATACGCCGGCGAGTAAGGGGTTCTGTGCATACCTTGCCCGTATGAACAATAACAGGTCCGATGATAGCCCATGCAAGGAAGCTCTGCAGGCATTATATAGGATAGCCATGCAGAACATAGAACAAACTCACACCGCCCAAGAAACTGTATGATGAGTTGATTCCTGTGAGCATCCCTGCACCAATGAACGCCGGTGTCCATTCCCAAATCCACCCCTGTTGTACTTTAGAAGACAAGTATATCTCGTACAACAGCACAGACTGACCCAACTCTCTGCGGTAATGATGTATTCCCACCCCAGTCGATTGAGCGCATAAAAAATATGCCAGTCCCAAAGAAGCCCGGGAGCGTATTCGCTGATGACGCGCAAAGTGATCGCAAAACAGAAAGAGATTATCAATGCCTTGGTCTTTTTCTTAGCGTTCGTCGCAGCGGTTTTGCCCACGTGGAGCGAGCGAATCGTGTACGCAGCGGCAACACCAGAAGGAAACACGAGCTTGAGCTTCAAAATATAGAACTTCCGGAGCGGGATGGAAAATGCAAGACCAAAGAAAGCGCAGCAAATAGTAAACGTGAATAGTCGACCAATATCATCTCGAGGACTTGCACCGAGAAGACCAAGCTGGTACGCAGCAGGAAAGCCGGAGGTAAAAAGCAAACCAAGGCTACCTGCAGCAGACGCTGTAGATTGGCATACATTGTTTTCCTTGGGACCAAAATAGCCGCCTCCAAGCCAGCGCGGTGCTGCGTTAGAAAAGGGCTTGAGGATGGCGAAACCTGCAAATTAACGGTAAGTTACACTTGCGCCGTACCATATAAACAACAAACCAAATATCGATCCAAATAGTGATGCTCCAAAGGTCCACCCTGTCTGTATACAGCTTCAGAATTTGAAGTTTTCCAAAAGATATTCACAGACCTTCAAACCTAAATAAACGTTGCTTGCGGAGATAACTGCCCCGAGCAGGCAGCCGACAAGCAAAGCCCTGACGGTCAACTGCCTCTCTTCCACGGGAGCGTCGGGATCGAGGGGGAAAGGATCATCGGTATTAATGAAACGTCCACCGGACACGAGCTTTTCATTATCACTATTATCATCCTGAGAGTTGCGCTCGGCCGTAGATATGTCATCGCTAGCAGCTGATGATAAATACTTCTCCTTCAGGACCGGAGAAGCAGGGTCGTTGGGGTTGAAGGTACCCGGTCCACTCTCCTGGATGCCGTTGGAAGTCATATCACACAGAGATGACATTGGATCATGCAGGTCCAAGCTTTTATGAAAATTCTTATCCGGCATGACATTTTAAAAGGTCAGGTGCTTCTCCATCCTTGTGCATGTCATTGTCAAAGAAAGCGCTGTGTGGCATATTGCAATCAGTTCACCCATATGGTCGATAAGGCTATTTCTGTTTCACCTGAAAGGATCTTCGTGTGTCCGCGGCCAAGTTAAACCTATCATATGAAACATAGTTCTGAATAGCAGGGAAATTAAAACCTATTAGCACGAATGAAATAATGACAGGAAAGGCACTCGTTGTCACTGCGTCGACCGGCATCCGAGATATATTGGTACGACAATGTGTAGATCCTGAAGATTATATTTCCTATTCTTCAGGCTGTTAGTGACTGACCGCCACAATAAGTGCGTATTTTTGATATGAAACAAGATGACTGCGGAGGCTTCGGGGTGGCAATTATCGCGTCCGAGCCCGGTGTTAACAAGGTGTTAACCAGGTTTTCGGAATCCAAGTTAATGACCAATTTAAACAACAGTCTCTGAAGCATTATACATCCTGGAATATTGTACCGTGTGTAGGTCAAGGATTGACATGATTTGATTTTACACTTGTATAACCTCTAAAGTGCAAGGGAACAACTTCGCACTAGAGTCGGTGTTCAACGTTCATGTGCATGATCAGTAGTGACGCCAAACCAAGCACTCGGAGTCTCGGACATAGCCGTGTGGATTGGTTGAAGCGGCGCCTCAAGGCATCAACCCGGAAATTCGCGAAGTTGTTCTCTCGTGTAAAGTCTAACTGTAAAGTCAGTCGCGTCCATGTCTGTGACATCGTTTTTCTCGTCTTTCTTCAACACTGTGCACTGTGACGCACCGGAGGAGAAGCAGCCAGAAAACGAAATGAAGGAGGAGGAAGTTGCTGAGGTGGGGGAACCATCGAAAGGGTCTGAGGAAGAAGAGGAAGTGGAAGCTGAGGACGTATGTCTCCATTCCGGATATCAATATCGTCCTCTTCTGTTAATGTCACTCCGGTCTATAGGTTCACCCTATCATTATAGAGGAGTGCAAAAACTCAGCAGCATGCGCTTCTCTAACGAGACATTTCGAACACTGTCAAGAGAAGGTGCAATCTGGACAAGGCTTTAAAGGCGAGGACTGTGTGGAGGAACTGTGAGTTGGTATTTGAATATTAATTTCTGCATAACGCTCATATACTATGATTATAGATGTAGGTTACCTATGTTGTTATCTTCATGGCATTCATATTGATTTTTCTTATTCCGACTACTTGATATGCAGTCCAGTGAGTCGTTCTTTCCCCTCTCCTTGGAATCCTCGTTAACGGCGTCATAATACAGCATGATGCACTGTGCCGACGTATGTATATTCTGTCGCCACCCTCGAAAGTTCTCGCTTAACATTCTACTTAGGCGTGTGCTGCACCAAAATTGTTTTCCAAGCTCAAGTAGACGCTAGAGTTAATACTGCAGTGCGTCTTTCTTTTCAGTTTCGTTTCAGTATCTTAGTTATTTGGCCCTATAGTTACAATACATGCTATCGTTCTTAAGGAGCAATACCATTTATCTCTCCTGTCACCTATATGCTACTGAGGATCATATTGATCGGCAAATGCGCCGATATCATTATTTCTCGACGCCATTCCCATTGCGCTATTCTCCCGTCTGAACTGCGCACTGCTATGCGGCCTTGGCTCCATTTATCCAATTTGAGACTGTTGGCCTGTGAGTATGACCGACGTGGTTAGAAAGTCTGAGATTCGTGGAGTCCAGGAACTCGAGCCCGCCGGACAGTTTGGGGATCGCCTGCCCCCAGATAGGGAATCCCGCTCGATATGCCAAATGTCTTAGGCTTACCATCGTCTAACGTATGCCCAATCCCAGTAGTTATTCGTGGTTTAACTTGTTTGACCTGGCTGAATCAATTCGCGATGCTGGTCAAATTCGACCTCGTGACTCAGCCTGAGCAGCTTACATATCCAAAACCCCTCTCGATGAATATATATGACTTATCGACAAGTCTAAATTCCTCTGTCGTCGCTCAGATTGCCCTCACAAAGCACTGTCCGCTCGTGCATCATTTGCATCCTCAAATTTCAAGCTACATATTTAAATCTTTGATTCGATCATTCTTCAACTCATATCCACTGAAAATGCCAGCTCAGTGTCCCAAATACAGTCTACTAGAATGGCTGCAGCCTCAGGACTGGTGATATCAGGGGATTCATTCCAACAAATCCTGACAATGGCCTGCCTTGCCATCATTGACAATTACAGGTGCTCACATATCACCAAAGTTTATGCAAATATTACACTCATTGAAATTGTATAAACCAGCAGTTAAAAGTAGAACTTAAGACAGTCTAGAAATGGAGTATAATCAGATCAGAACAGTGTGCAAGAAACATTGAACATACCTCAGTGTCATGAACAGAACTGCTGAGGTACAAACAAGCTGTAACAACAAGATTATAAGGTGTAGGTATAGAGTCCAAAACTGAAAGAGGAATCTAGCTATAGGTGATGAAGTTGAACATCCAACACACCTCAGGCTGGGCTAGGGCTATTCACCATATGCCATACAACAAAAATTTACAGGACCATAATATGGTCACCATATCCATACTGTTGGCTGTTTAGACCTTGAGTTGATGGTATAGGGTATGGGTATAAAGGTCCTGTATGTTGCCATATTTGTATGGCCATATATGGCTGTCATACAGTGTACAAGTGCTCTGATCACCTTTGGACATTTCCTACTGTCAATTACAGTAATAGGTTCCTGTATACTACATTCACCATTGTCTCTTCCTCCTCATCCTCTATTCCACACAATGCTCAAATGTCTTGTTTAGTACTGCCATGGTCCAGTTTGGAGGGTCCTAGACAAGAACCAAGAACCAGACCATAGAGAATGGTTCTCTATGGTCTGGTTTAATTTTCTTGTGGTCTGAACCTGAACCAAACCAAAAAAAATTCTGTAGGGAGTGCGAAAAAAACATTGATGAAGTACTAGTCTACACATTGGGTAACTAGTCTAATCACATGGCTGCATACTCCCCTGCCTCTGTAGCTGCTGAAAGATGTCCATTCCAGTAAGTGGCCTTCATTAACTGTAGCATGGAGAAGGTGGATGGTGCAAGTGTGTTGTGGCGCAGGGTAGATGTGATGCCCCTGTGAGAGAAAGCATGTTCAGAGGGCACAGCACTTCCTTGAATTGGTAAATAATCATGTGCCATATGAGCCAGTGTTGGATACTGTAGCGAGTGCAGCTAATGAATAATGTCAGTTGAGAATGTATTAAATCAAAAACCAACTTACCCCCTACCACACCACAACCTCATTTGTCTCTTCCAATGGTGAATTGAGATATGAGGTGAGTTCATGATGGGGATCTCACATGCAATGATCTGCAGCTTGACATGCCATGACAGCATCACACATCCAGGATTAGCCATACCAAATGACCTGTGATGCTTTTGGTGGCACAGCAGCCTGTTGTGTAGCACATGGCAGTGGAGGAGCCTTGTAATACTTATCAGCCACTGGCAGCATACAGCACTCAAATCAGACTTACCACAGCTTGAAAATGAGCTCTCCCACTTGTGACCTTCACACCAGTCCAATAGGTTTCAACATATGCTAACTTGAAGTTAGGGTCCAGAACTATAGTTACATCAGATTCCAGCACTCAAAGAGAAAACAATGAAACTCACCCAGACAGATGAAATAAACATCTGAGTCGCTGGTTTTTTCATAGTACTTCTCCACATTCTTGAGGCCTTTCTGAATCACATCAGCAATTGATGTGTATTCTGGATCATTAGCCATTGTCTGCCATGTATCAGTGAGACACTCTAGTGTTGGTATAGTCTGCCAGGCTGTTGGATGGGTGGCTGAAGAGAAAGACTGCTGCATAGTCACAGGCTCCTACAATTATCATAACTGTAAGTAAATGAATGAATGAACAATCAGATAGAAAAATACCTTAAGGACATTATGTACCAGTCGGCTCAATCAAGCTTGAAGTTGCCATATGACTTGTCGTGCAACTTCAGGACTTCATCACTCTCATCAGTGAGAAGAGTGAAGTGGTTGATGGCCTGAAAAAAATGAAGATGTTAGAGATTTGTACATGTGATCATGTCTCACTCACCAGGCAAAGAGACAAGAAGCATTTGAGGCACTTAAACAAAGATGCCCAGCATGTTCTCACCCAGGCCAAAATCTCACGAATGGGGATGCCCTCTTCCTCACAAGTCTTTTGGAAGAATGCCCTGGCTTGTGGCAATTTGTGAATCTATCATTTTCATGTCAACAAAACAACTTGAAAAGAAAACAAAAAAGAGGACTTCACCTGTTCAATAAGAGCAAGCATTTTGCCAATGGCATCTCCACATCAAAACCATCCTCAGTTATAGCTTCAGGATCGCATTCCAATTCAGCCAGCTGTTGAGTTAAACTGTCAATGTCAGTATCATCGCTGTTATCTATAGTGTGGTGGATCTTCTTGAGTAAGGTGGCTTGAGGGGTAGGTGTGACTGCATCAATGAAGTGTCATGCAGCAAGATTGAGGATGTGTTCTTGACAGTGGATGCAGTGAGGACCTGGGAGACAGCCCACAGGCATTGTCAGCATCATGAACACAAGCTGAGGGCTTTAAAGGGCGGCCAGAGTGCCAAGAACCAGCTGCAACAGTTGCTGGGGTGTGTCCAGCATTGAGTAGAATGGAGAAGGCATTTCTTGTGGATTCTGTCGATGGGACCTGTGGCAATGGGACATCATCATCAGGATCATTGTAGAACTTGATTTCAGAGGCATCCTTGAGGGTGCCATCAGCATTGAGAGTACAGGAGTCTTGAGACATTTTGAGGGAGACAATGGACTCACAATATCATCATTGTTATCTCATTTTGTACACAGAGCAGGGAGAAAATACCTGAATATCACAGAATATTGGTATCCTAGGAGATCGGTCAGAGTGTAAGGCCAGTGGAGGATCATAACTGTCTAGAGTCTAGACAGTCTAGGAAGATGTGGAGACTTAAGCAAACAAATATCTGTGACATAGTTAAATGTATGTCAGTGGGTGAGAGAATTGAAAGTTCAATTGGTTAGTATTTACCTTCAAAAAGCCTAAAGCCAGCCTGACCAGGTACTGAGAGTGCAAATCCTGAAAGTCAGCCTAATGTCAAGGTAAGTGATGTCAAAGAGAATTGACAAGAATTTGGAGTGGTTTGGCAAGGCCAAACCAAAACAGAACAGTTTGGGAATAGCCAGAACCAAGAACCAAAAATTGGTCCGGTTCTGGCTGATGTGAGAACCATGGACTGAACCATGGAGAATTGGACCAAAAGTCCAGTTCAAACCATGGTTCTGGACCGGACTGTGGCAGCACTAGGACTCTTGTTGACATTGCACTCTGGGAAGTGTGGTATATAGTTCTCACTGTTCCCCATCCCTGGATCATTTCCAGGCCTTCCATCCATCAAATTGGGGCCTTCCATCCATCAAATCATCTGTCTACTACTTCCTACTGCCTTGTTGCCCAATTAGGTAAATACAGAGAATCCTAAAAATATCAAAACATAGCATTTGCCTGGCTCCCACATCTGCTATGCTATTGGGAACAGATAGGTACTAGTTCATTAGGGCAATAGCTTGATATACAATGTCAAGTAATTACAAAATACATGAAAATCACAGAAAAAAAACATACCCCCACAAAACATTAGATAGCAGTACTGCATGATGACTAGGCCATGAGGCCAGGAATGACACTCCAAATTGAAGAGCAGTGGTCATGCATCATCCTCTGAATGGCAGCTTGCCAATGTGCATATGCTACTGCACCTTCATTCTCTATAGGCCTGAGCCATGTCTTGGATGTTGCACATTCCACCCACCAGGCCACATGCCAATCAAAGAATGCAAGAACATGATGCATTTCCTCTTGCAACAGCTCTACCTCCTCAGACCACTGGTTAGCATGTGCATGAGCCTTGCACCACTCAATGCACATAGCTAGAAAACATGGTTCAGAAGGGAACTAGCTAAGATCATAAGGTGAGCTTACCATCTGAAAGCTCTTCCTCTCTGGTGCCATAATGCTGCTTCCAAATCCATGAAATAGAAACCAATCTTTGCCCCTCAGAAATACTTTCACTTGCTGCTTGGTCCTCAGTCATTCTGCAGACATCCTCTTTCTTGAGCATTGGGAACTTGGTCTTCCAGTCAATTTCAAAAAGAGGTTCAGCAAGAGCACTGAGGGAGGCCCAAGCGATGTGATATTCAGTAGCAGATGTGTCAATTTTTTTCTGCATCATGTTTATGATCTCACATGACCTTGTGTGTTCACATTGACTGGTAATCCAGTCCTTCTTGAAGCTGGTGTAGAGAATGAGATTCCTCCAGGCATATATCATGTATATTTTGACTCATGATGACTGGTACAGCGCATCACTCACTATCTATGACTTTCCTACAAAACACGCCAGAGGCATGACACTTTCTCACACCACACAATGCATTCCTGTGCATGCACTTAGCGCACTCTTCACACACTTTGTCATGCAGTGTCCTGGAGCATCCATCCATCATCCAACCAGTTCCCTGGTGTGTCCCTTTTCCTTTATTCTCATTATCTGACCATTTCTGGTATCATACAATACTTTATTTCATCATGGACCCTTACTTTACATCATTTTACATACATATAACACTCCCTATTCACTTCCAAGCCCTGGGAGTGTGCCTAGGCACAGCTTACCTGTTGCCTAGGAAGTTTGGAAACAGGAACCACCACAACTAGCTACAGGGAGAGACCACCATCTTGTCACTTAGCATCCAGAGTCAGAATCTATCATCATGAGTTAGCATCCATCCATCATTGCCCTAGCCTTCAGCAACAGTCTACTATCATCAGTCTCCTCTCAGCTCTCTTAGTTCATGTCTTTATGCCATCAACCAGTCTTTTATATGTTCATGCACTCCTTGTGCCTTATTCCCATGCTTCACACTCCTATGTGCTCCATATTCCTATGCACACTTTCATCACACTTCACCAGAGTTGACCTGGTGAAGGTGAGGACTAGGAACTATGAGAGAAACTGACTACTACTAAGGGAACTCTACAGCAAGACCTGGATGTGAGACAGAACTCAATCCAAAGGACAGCTACTGAGAGAGAGTCCTCAAAATGTCTGAGGGAGACTCTGAAACCAAATGGGCACCAGAGGATGTGTGAAGTGCAAATGCTGGAAGAAGCACAATCGAGACATGCATGAAAGCATGCTGGGGCGATAGAAAGTGAGAGTGTGCATGATGGGGTTCTAAGGCATAGAGGCAAAGGCTACCTGGAAACTAAATCCAGTGAAGAAGGAATCAAACTGGCATGGAGTGGTCATGTCTAGGCAGGTAGTGCACGAATTCAGACTTTTGGGACCTTTAAACTTGCTCTAATGCGCAAACTACTGCTAATACACAGAGGTGGGAAGTGCTAGGATAAGGTGTTCTAAAAATTATAAGTCCCTTCTCTATATTGAGTGCTAGGCAATGCTTGTAGCATGGAAGTAAAGCAAGTAGGTAGCAATATCTATATGTAATGGTGCCTAAGTGTGCGCATATGCATTTACAGCACTGTAATCAGTCCGGAAGATATGTCAGAGTGATAAGAATACAATAAAAATGCACCAGTGGACTTTAGTGAGGACATAAATGGGTAGACGGACTGTAGCAGAGGACCTAGAGCAGGCACATGGGGCATGCAAGTGCATTTGTGTGTGCACAGCAATTGTGCATTAGCGTGTAATAGCATGAGTGACTTATCCTGAGGATCAGAGCTAGAGTACACATAGAAAGGGGTGGTGTATCATCCTATAATGGCCATATAGAGGCATGAGTCTCTATACCAGTGTCACCCAGTGGATCTTTGCTTTCTTTGCTTCCCTTAAGGGTCAAACATATCACTCAGTGCATTTTGACCAACACTTAGAAAGTTAGTGGCCTTCCTCTCACCCCAGAGGTAGAGCCATCTTTCTTTCTTTTGCTCTGCAAGCCAGCAGAGTTGTTGAACCTTCACCAGTAAGATGATGCTTAAGCTGCAGGTGCTGATGAAGTTCATGCAGCACCTCATGTCCCTGAGCTCTATGAAGCTTCCATTCAATCTGCAATAGATTTCTGTCACAAGATAAAGACCAGGTGACAATCACAGAGGGCATCCAGAGCTTGATGCTATGGATGTCTTCTCCTGTATTATCAGATGAGGTAGCATCAGTTGTGTCATGAAGATGTGTAACACATGGCATGTAAAGAGTCTGAATCTTGATCCAGTGTTTGATTTGATGATGGAGTGTGTTTGTCCACTGCTGTAGTGTAGATAGGTGGATTTCAGTGATGTGTGCACCTATACTTGAGGTCTCATGAACAAGGTGGTGCCTGTCAAAGAAAAGTAAATTGTCAGTCAAGTTAAAGAGCAGCAGAATAATGCTATGTACTGCTGCATCTCAAGCTCAATTCCAACAGCTATCAAGACACTTGGTGAAACCTTGGAGTACAAGGACATATTGAATCCACATTTGAGTTGGTCTGCTTCAGCTTGTGAGAGCTCTAGTTGAACAGAGGCTTGTGTCATAGGTGGAAATATTGAGTCAAATGGATTTGCATTAAATCAGTCAGACTCCCAATTCTCTATTATTATATGCCAGATTGCAAGACTCAGCTGGAATTGTATCTTCAAAATCGATGAGGTCTGAAATATGTTGATCATGTTAAGGGATGGTGTCCTTGAGCTTTTGCAAAAGAAATATGCCTGTTGAAAGTGTGTCAGATTGCTATTGATGATGAGGGTAATGACTTACCAAAGTTAGACACCTTCTACCAGTTCCAGTCACTGAAGTGGTCATCAAGGGCATCATACCTTGAACCAGGTCCCATCTCCTGTGTGCTAGTAGCCACAGGGCTAAGGTTAGACCAGCCACATTCTGGCACTTTGCCATCTGTTCTGGCTATCTGTTAAGAACCATGCTCAAGGGAGAGAGAGACTGACTCAGAGGGGCTTGGCCTCAGCTTGTATGCTGTGCTCCTTACCCAAGTATGTGCCCTTCGTTTCAGATGAAGTCCAAAGGACTTCCAGAGGCTGGCTACTCTGGTGGAGTGTGGGAGGACTTCTGGAGGAGTGCAGGAAATATCTGGAGGAGTACAGGAAATACTCAGAGGAGTTCCCACTGCACAGGAAGTGGAGAGACCCCAAGGTAATATCTCTATGGGAAACAGGATGGAAGGATAGGATGTCCAGAGGTATGGGAAACAGGAGAACAGGACGTCTGGAGATATGAGGGACAGGGTGTCCAGAGGTATGAGAGACAGGACATCTGAAGGTACAGAAGGAATAGGGGCTACATTGGATGAAGTCCGATGTAGAAGCAAACAGAGGTAGACTACTCTAAGGTAGAGTTAGAAAGACAGGGATTGGACCAAAGTCTGGAGAGAGGGTAAGTGCTGGAAAGGCAAGACTCCAGCCTAGGGAAGCAATCCCTAGACTTGGAACAGAGACATAGGGGACAAATCCAAAGGTCTGGAATTCTGGCCTAGAGAATCCATCCCTAGGTCTTATAAAAAAGGACAAACTCAGATGGACTGAAGTCTAGAAGAAGATTGGGCAAGTCTAAGGTGATATTTAGACTGAGGACTCTACTGGAGTTGTATAGGGGTTATATACTAGAGGATATCCGAGAGGATCAGTAAGCAATGGAGTAAGGCTATGTACAAGCATGTAGAAACACATTGGTAAGTGAGACAGAACATAAGTAAATGAACTCAGAGATGAAACTAGTACAAGGATCAATCAGCAAGACAGAAACAGAGATAACTGAGAATCAGAAAGGCAGAGATGCCTAAATGGAGATAGGCACAGGATCTCAGACAGAGGATGGGAATAGGTCCAGAGATCTGGGGATCCAGAAGGCAAGGTGGAAACAGGACTGAGATATGTGAGGTGGTAGATGTAGTCCAGAATCTGAGAGAAGATAAAGTCCAGATGTCTTGCTGGACAGAATGTGCATAGAGTGGACAGGATAGGGGTGTATGGATCAGGCTAGTAGTGAAGATCTGGAGGTCTGGAGCTCAGGGGTAATTCCATAGCAGAGCTAATCCTGCTTAGATATGGAGCACACAGCAGAAGGGGATCTGGGAATGAGTCAGAGGTGGGGTCCGGAAATAGGCCCAGAAGGTGTGGGAATATTATGGGATCTAGGTCCAGCATATGGGATATGACACCATTCCTTTGATGAGATTGAATAAAAAGTTAGTCTGACATGTAGTGATGTGGGTAGGGAGATGGAATTTAGGCATGAGGGAAGTGATAATCTTGCTGGTATGTGCCAAACAAATGTTAAAGGGATAGTGAGACATGTGCTCCCAAAGATGCTTGTTCCACTGACACACAATATCATATGAGATGTTGATGACAACTACATCACTCAAATGTAACATTGTTGAAAAGAACAGATAGTCAATATTGACATATCTAAATTGACATCATGAACAAACACATACAGAATGACAAATTACTTACTTCTCTCCCTTCTGGAGATCTCCCACTGCTGAGGGTTGCTTGAAGTTATGCCTGTCACTGCAAGGCCATGCACTCTCTTTGAATCTGCAAGATTCACCACATTGTGACTTGCACAACTACTCTTCACCTGCATGAGACCCACATGAGAGTCTAGAACACTCCTACAGCCTGCTCATTTAAGGGCAATGAGATGGCAGTACTGGCAGCTCATGTAAAGGAGGGATTCATAGTGGTCCTGGTACATATTTAGTCACAAAATGTACAAAACAGTGAAAAACTTACCTTAGGCCTCTTTGTGCCTGTGTTGTCAGTCAAGTGAGACAAAGCTTGATAATATTCAAATGTAGATCCCTTGGATTCAAATGTGTACATTTGAAAATCATTGAGGAGTCAGAAGGTAGCAGCCATTTGAGGGTCAGTACTTGTAGCAGGATACCATTGAGCATGCAGTAATTGAATGACATGAGTCTGTGTAGACTCACAGTTGCAAAAATCAAGTGCAAGACTATGAATACCATTGGTGTTAAGAACTGTAAATTCATGATCAAATGCTAGAGCTGGATTACAACATGAGACCCCAGGGAGATGCCTGAGTTGCACGTGTAGCCCAATATTGCAAAGGGAGTTGTGCTGAAAGTACTTACCCATCCAGACCTGCATGTAATCAAGGATCAGAACTTAGAAAGGCAAATAGATTTATAAATAAATACTTCAATATGATGCAAGGGCATAGCACAATGGAGAGCTACTGCACAGGATTGACAATACATTTGAAGTCCTTCACAATTGCTACAATGATACATGAGCTCATTCTCGCAACCATGGAGGCCATAATAGCACTGAGACCACATCACATCCCCATGGCTTTCAAGCCTGATAGACTCACAAAGGAAAGTTTCTCTCTAGAATCCACAACTTTTGAGGGTTGTCCTGTGGTCATAAGAAATTAGTGCCAGATAAAAGGAAGTCAGGCCATGCACATACTCCTGTTGTGTGTTTGTGTGTGTTTCTGACTGGCTCTTGATTGAAGTTTGTGTCTACAATATGATTCATGTAAGTGTCTTCAACAACAAAATCAAAATTAAGAGATTCCAAGGGTGTAGAAGGGAGCATTGATGGCACATTATTATGAGCTGGTGCTATTATATTTGGCACAGAAAAATATGTTGTTTTGACTAAAGGGCAGAGTCTGTTAGTGACATCAACAGATGTGTGTATATGACATGAAGTGTCAGGTTCATTGTCCTTAGTAGTTTGTTCTGCCACAATCCAAGCAAATTTTTCTTCAACAAGTTGGTGATAGTATTTGTTGAACTTGTGCTTGTGAGGTAGGGTCATGATCAACAAAAAAACTTCAAAGGTTTGTCACATGTGACATAGTACATACATCAGCAAAACCCTAACCCTATGTACAGTGCTGCACAACACTGCACAGCAATCACAGTGTCACAGCAAGGTCCTCCCATGTACAGCGCTGTACAGTGCTACACACTACACAATTTCTCAATAAAAAATTATTATTAGCACACCATCTTGTTATATACATGTTTATGACTACATTACACTCATTTTTACATAGAATCAATACTTGTGTGGTGCTGCAGAGCCTTTATAACAAAATCTATGTGACCTATGACACGCTGTGTGGCTGTGGCGCTGTACCCAAATCAGGGTTTTGCTGATGTAGTAAATACAAATATAATTAATGATGCTGCCAGACTAAGTTGTTAGTATGTAATACATCATCAAGGACATGAGTTCCTTGATCCACAAGCTGAAGTATTTCCTCCTCTGATGCAAGCCAAAGATGGGCATAGTGCAGAAGGTGTGAACATTTAGTCATCAGCTGCACAGTACAGGGACCTTCCAGATTGGCAACTGAATTTGCTAGTATCTTGATATTCTTAAGTAAAACCCTTGCCTCCACTAACTCACTTATAAACCCAGGCCTGATAGCACTCCAGCCCTGTTCATCCATGTCTTGTAGAAGGGTGATAACATGAGGTTCACATCCATTGTGATTTCAGCTACCTCCAGTGTAAGTTTTGGTCCATAGGTCTTCCATAGTATGAAAAGCATTAAAAGTAGCCTGTATAAAATGAATAAGAATGTCTTAAACACTCTGAAATGATAAACATACCATTGTAGCACCCTGACACTGCCTCCATCAATGACATGCTTTGAGTTGTTCATAGCCCACATGCCTAATGTTTGATCAATAGTTACTTGATCAAACAAAAGAGAGAAAAAAATATTTATTATGCATAGTGCATATGCTTTGAGAATTTACATACTTCTTCATGTTCTGGTGAGGGCATCTGATGCCTCCCCATTTTTCACTTGTGAGGTAGAGTGTGAGTAGTATGATAGGGAGGTGAAGTTTCAAACTGGTTGGATGTAGTAAACATTCTAAAGTACAAACACAACTACATAGGACTTACTTAGTAGGCACTGCCACAACTTCAGGACACTTATTTAGGTATGTTGTTACATTGTGCACACTGTACCAGGTGAGCTTCACAGTAGTGTTTGTAGCATTGTATCTTATTCAGTTCGATGTGTTTGTGCAAAGAAAATATGATTGACAGGCAAGAACACAACAAATTTGACAACAGATATACATATACAGTGGCTCAAAAAACTGTCTGCATGTTTTGACATTTTTCACTATCTATGATATTGTGTGAGAACTCACAAATGCCTCAAGGACATGCTTATACCACATTGTAGTATGGCTTCAGGGCTTTCATTTGAGCCCTACAACGTGGGAATTGGTGGAGATATGGTGGAGACATAAGGCTTATAAAATGATGACTCATGTGGACAGTTTTTTGAGTGTATATTAAAACTATATAAATCATTATTTATGACACCACAAAAATCATGCCACTATTATATAAATTATGAAGTGGTGTCATTATGTTATTTTATGACTATATCTAACTATATAAACCAGAATATCTCATGTATCATAGTCATAATCTCCATGAAAGCCATCTCCTCTGCTTAAAGAGATAATATCCTCTCTCTGTCTTATGCTGGCCTCTCTGCTTGCCAAATTTCCTCTAGAACTGGAGTATGCAAGTCCACTGTGGCCAAGTTTATCAAAGAAAGCCACCCAGACAAGGAAAACTCTTGTGGAGGACATCCATCCAAGCTTACCTCTACTGATAAAAGGGCTATTATCCAACATATCACTACAGGAAAGGCTGATAATGCTGTCCAAGCCACCCATTATATCAATTCCACCATCACTACCCCTGTCTCTTCACAAACTGTGAGGAGTGTTTTCAAGGCAGCTCATCTCAAGGCAGTAACAAAGAAGAAAAAGCCTCTTCTCTCCATCAAACATAGGCAGAGAAGACTAGCCTTTGCCTTAGCTCATCAACACTGGACTGTAGAGGACTGGAAGCATGTTATATGGTCAGATGAGACCAAAATCAATAGGATTGGGTCAGATGGGAAGGTATATGTATGGAAAAAGAAGGGAGATGGCCTAACAGACAGAGAGATTAATGGGACTGTCAAGTTTGGAGGAGGTTCTTTAATGGTATGGGGCTGTATGGGATGGAATGGTGTGGGAATGCTTGCTGAGGTTGAGGGGAAGATGAATGCTGAGCAGTATGTGGACATTTTAAATGACCACTTGCTGCCTAGCTTGGCAGAATCAGGGATTGATGAAGAAGATATCATTTTCCAACAGGATAATGATCCCAAGCACACATCCAGAAGAGCTAAGGAATGGTTTGAAGAACATAACATCAATGTTCTTGACTGGCCAGCACAGTCTCCTGATGTCAATGTCATTGAACATCTCTGGGGGAACACTCAAGAAAAAGCTTCAAGCCTATGAAAACCCCCCTAAAGGAGTATGGGAGCTTTGGGAGAGAGTCACAGCTGAGGATTGCCAGAAATTAATTAAGAGTATGCCTAGAAGGATAGAGGCAGTAATTAAAGCCAAGGGAGGTCATACAAAATACTAGAATACCTGGTTATTATTGTAAAATACTTGAGTCAAAAAACTGTCTGCATGAGTCACCATTTTGTGAGCCTTGTATCTCCACCATATCTCCACCGATTCCCACGGTGTAGGGCTCAAATGAAAGCCCTGAAGCCATACTACAATGTGGTATAAGCATGTCCTTGAGGCATTTGTGAGTTCTCACACAATATCATAGATAGTGAAAAATGTCAAAACATGCAGACAGTTTTTTGAGCCACTGTACATCTACATCTACATTGTGCAACATGGACCCCACATCACACTGGCACCTATATTACTCCAACAGAAGCCTTTGCCCACACATACACTTCCTCAGCAGTGACATGAGAAGAGTGACAACTGAAACATGCACTGGGAACACTGATGTTATGGATGTGGAACACTGTGCCTACAAACAGTTAGAGTGACTTAAAGAAACACGGTCAGAGAACATACCAGCCTTGGAAGACACCTGTCTCACAGCCAACAGTGATAGTGTACCAGTGGGCAGAGGTAGAAGAGCTAGCCAGAATGGTCTGCATGGCTGGAGGGGCTTGTGCCAGAGGTTGCACAGCTGGACTGAGTGATGTGGACAGCACAGCTGGAATAATGTCAGAGAGAGGCTGCAAGATAGTTGCCTGCTGTGACTTGGAGACAGTCATGATGCCTGTGGATGGTACTGCAAGAGATTCAAACTCCTTATTGCTGAGGTTGTCACTGGCAGGATTGGCCACATCTTCATATGAAATCAGCATTAGGACTGATTGAAATGATGATACTTACTGTTGGCTCAGGCAGGGCTATTCTGGACAAAGGTAAAATTGTGGGATCTATTGTCAATGACCACTGTAATACAATCTGAGGTACAGAAATAGAATGATCACAAGAAATCTTACCATTTTTCTAGTGTATCAGTTGTAACACACTCCAAAGTTTGGACAAGGTGAAGGTATCATCTTCCTCAGGTTAGACCTTCATATTGATCAAACAGGAGTGGCACAATGCAGATTTGAACTAGCTGTAGGGGTAAATGTTGATGTTAAGTGTCTCATACACATGGCACTTATAAGGTCGAAAAAAGAACCTCAGCAATTGCCTTATAAATGCCTTACCTTATTGGGTGGATTGGAAATAGAGTTGAAATCCTGTCCTATATGGGGTATTCATACAAGCTAGGTGTCACATCAAACATCAAAAAACATATGGTATGTGTGTCACATGAGGTTATATCAATACCTGCTTACCTTGATGGGAATGATAGACACCTGGAACCTTGTGGATGACTCACAAATAGACAGCTTGGTTAAAGACTAAGATAGATGGCTTCTGCTTGAGTCAGCTGCAGGGTTCTGTCTCCACATACTTTAACCAGTTATGTCTAGAATGGTTTGTGAAATGGCCAGAAGTTGGCATCCATTTCAAACACAGCACAACTGGAATATCCCTTACTGAGGCTGAATTAACAAGTGAACAAACAAGAGAATTGGGTAAACTAGTTAAGCAGCATAAGGAGGTACAGTGGCTCAAAAAACTGTCCACATGTTTTTGCATTTTTTACTATTTACAATATTGTGTGAGTGTCATATCCGCATATCTGGATCTCAGATCCGACCCTTATCTCATCTCAGATCCACATCTTATCTCCCTCCAACATCTCGTTATTTAATCTGTCCACTCGTCTGGTCCAGTCCACAACTCATCCAAATCCACAGCCAGCACTCATCCCCTTTCAGTAACCCCCTAACTCTGGTATTTCAGTTATCTGTATATCCATTGAAGGTTCAACAACTCTGCTGGGCTTGCAGAGCTAAAGAAAGAAAGAAGGGGCTCTCACTATGGGGTGAGAGGAAGGCCTACTGACTCTCTAAATGTTGGTCGAAGTGTGCCTGGCAATACATTCGACCCTTGAGGGAAGCAAGGAAAGCAAGATCCACTGGGTGACACCAGGTCAACTCTGGTGGAGTGCACTGAAAGTGCGCACATGGGGATGTAGAGTGCATAGGAGCGTGAAGTGTGGGAATATGGCACATGCAGTGCACGAACCTATAAATGACTGGTAGAAGGTGTGAAGGCATGAGCTAAGACTGGTGATGAAGAGACTGATGATAATAGACTGGGCTGAGGACTAAGGCGATGACTGAAGCATGTTGACTGAAGATGATAGATTCTCACTCTAGATGATGACTACTGGATGGTGGTGCTAGGTGTCTTCTCTGGTGTGGTTGGTGTATTCTAAAACTTCCTCAGCAACAGGTAAGCTATGCCTAGGCATGCTCCCAGGGCTCGGAAGCAAATAGGGAGCGCTCTAAGTATGTAAATGATGTAAGGAAGGGTCCATGACAAAATATAGTGTCATACAATGCCAAATATAGTCTGATAATGAAAATAGATGAGAAAGGACTCACTAGGGAACTGGTTGGACGATGGATGGATGCTCTGGGACACTGTGCAACAAAGTGCAACCAAGCGTGGGAAGAGCGCGCTAAGTGCATGCATGGGAATGTGTCGCATAATGCGGGAAAGTGTCATGCCTCTGGTGCATTTCACAGGAAAGTCATGGGTAGTGAGTTGCACACTATACCAATTGTCATGAGTCATAATATGGGTGATATACGCCTAGAGGATTCTTGTTCCCTACACTGTCCTGCTCCCTGATCCACTACCTATGTTTCATTTCTGTTTCATGATTTGTGATCCATTTCTACTTACAAATAGACTATCCACATGCTTCGTACATAGCCTTGGACTCTGCTGATTGATCATTCCGTTAGATACCTATAGTATATAACCTCCTGTAACTTTCTGTAGTACCTCAGTTCAAATATCATCTTAGTTCTACTCATTCCTGTCCTCTGGACTTGAGTATCTCTACTCTCGTCACCCTCTGAGACCTAGGATTGATTCCTATAGTCTATCCATATCCACCTCTGTCTCCGACAGTCCATTACCATTAGTTTCTAGTCTGGACTTGTCCAGATTAGCCCTATGATACTTATCCCTCATCTGGAAGTCATCCAGATCCGTTACACTACTTGTCCAACCTTCCGGATGCGTTAGTCTTGCCTTCCTGAAATAAGGGGCAATACTTGGGTAAGGGGCACAGCATACAAGCTGAGGCCAAAGCCCTTCAGATCCAGTTATCCTTTGAGTACGACCTTAACAGTGAGAATACATAAAGACCTCAGTGACATGCTAATACCATATTGTAGTGCTGCTTCAGGGCTTTGGATTGAGCACCACATTGTGAGAATCAGAGGAGATATGGTGGAGATACAAGGCTTACAAAATCATGACTCATGCGGACAGTTTTTTGAGCACATATTAAAACTATATAAATCATCATTTATGACACCATAACAATCATGCCACCATTAAATAAATTATAAAGTGGTGTCATTATGTCATTTTAAAACCATATCTAACTATACAAACCAAAAATTTCCATATGTCATGGTTATATTCACCATGAAAGCCACCCCCCCTGCTCAAAGGGATAATATCCTCTCTCTTTCCTATTCTGGCCTCTCTGCTTGTCAAATTTCCTCTAGAACTGGAGTATCCAAGTCTACTGTGGCCAAGTTCATCAAAGAAAGTCACACAGACAAGGAAAACTTCTGTGAAGGGCGTCCATCCAAGCTCACCTCTACTGATAGGAGGGCTATTATTCAACATATTACTACAGGAAAGGCTGATAATGCTGTCCAGGTCACCTATTACATCAATTCCACCATCACATTCCCCATCTCTTCACACACTGTGAGAAACATTCTCAAGACAGTTCATCTCAGGTCAGTAACAAGGAAGAAAAGGCTCTTCTCTCTATCACACATATGCAGAGATGACTAGCACCCTTCTTGTTTCACATATATACCTTGCCATCTGACCCAATCATATTTATTGTGGTCTTATATGATCATATAACATGCTTCCAGTCCATGTAATCCAATTCTGATGGGCTAAGGCAAAGGTTAGTCATCTCTGCATATGTGTGATAGAGAGAAGAGCCTTTTCTTCCTTGTTACTGACCTGAGATGAACTGTCTTGAGAATGTTTCTCACAGTGTGTGAAGAGATGGGGAATGTGATGGTGGAATTGATGTAATAGGTGACCTGGACAGCATTATCAGCCTTTCCTGTAGTAATATGTTGAATAATAGCCCTCCTATCAGTAGAGGTGAGCTTGGATGGACGCCCTTCACAGAAGTTTTCCTTGTCTGTGTGACTTTCTTTGATGAACTTGGCCACAGTAGACTTGGATACTCCAGTTCTAGAGGAAATTTGACAAGCAGAGAGGCCAGAATAGGAAAGAGAGAGGATATTATCCCTTTGAGCAGGGGGGGTGGCTTTCATGGTGAATATAACCATGACATATGGAAATTTTTGGTTTGTATAGTTAGATATGGTTTTAAAATGACATAATGACACCACTTTATAATTTATTTAATGGTGGCATGATTGTTATGGTGTCATAAATGATGATTTATATAGTTTTAATATGTGCTCAAAAAACTGTCCGCATGAGTCATGATTTTGTAAGCCTTGTATCTCCACCATATCTCCTCTGATTCTCACAATGTGGTGCTCAATCCAAAGCCCTGAAGCAGCACTACAATATGGTATTAGCATGTCACTGAGGTCTTTATGTATTCTCATACAATATTGTAAATAGTAAAAAATGCAAAAACATGTGGACAGTTTTTTGAGCCACTGTACTCAAGTTGTTCACATCAAGAATGGTTCAGGGCTTACATGGAGTGATAAGAACAGTGCAGGCATATCACCTGAGACCCAGCATGTGTGGGATGATCTTGTTAAGGTGAGTACTCCGAACCAGTGCTCTCATATCCTACTGACTTTTTTCAATGCAAGGCCGATCCTGGTGTTGCCCCCTTTCGTAACAAAGGCTTCATTGACTTCACAAAAATTGAGAGCATGTGGGGCAGTAGCAAGGGGGCCAAAGGCAAAGGCACCCATGTTCACCAAAGGAAGAAAAAACCTGCCTCTTCAGCCATTCCTTTCTCCAGTGGTTCCATGCTTCCTCTGCCACCTCCTAGTGCACCCTCCATGAATCTCAATTCACTCAACACTGCTGCAAACAATATCAATATCATGACCCCTGTCAGTGGCCAACCATCTTCTCCCTACCTCAATTCCTTCATCACTTCCACTAACCCTGAGTTGGCATTGACTAGCACCAGCCACAGCAAGCACAAATTTAGTGCACTTGGTAGCACTGAGGGGTTACAGAAGAAGCAGTGGGCTCTGTCTACAAGTGTGCAGGCCCAACAAGATGGCAACACTGCACTGACATTGCTTGCAAGTGCTGTTGGAGGTTTGACCAAGACTTTCACTGAGACCTCCACCTTGCCCCCTGGATATGTCTTACTGGTTGAGTCACAGTCACAGGCCCCCCTCTCTTCACTAGCTAAAGCCACCAACCTTATCTGCCAGCTCCCTGACTTGTCACAGGATGACAAGTTAGACATTCTCAATCACATGTTGCACCACAAATGCAAAGCAGAAATGTACATATACATGACTGATGCATCGCTCAGGGCTGGTTCTTGAGAAGAATGCTCCAGGAGATTCACAAGGGTAGAAATGAGATGTCTGTCAATCATTGATTTCAGAAAGTGCATAGTAGTTCCAAAGTGCATAGTAGTTCCTAGCCTAGATCACTTTGTTTTTCTAACCAATCAGTACATGTTTCATTAGCACTATTGATTCATTGGCATTGTACAGTTACTGTACTGCAA